ACTTTCTTACACCATACACAAAAATAAACTCAAAATGATTAAAGTCCTAAATGTGAGACCTGAAACCATAAAAATCCCAGAAGAGAGCACAGGCATCAATATCTCTAACATCAGCCATAGCAACCTTCTTCTAGAAATGTCTCCTCAGGCAAGAGAAACAAAATCAAAATAAACTACTGGGACTACATCAAAATAAAAAGCATCTGCACAGCAAAGGAAACAATCAAGAAAACTAAAAGACAATCTACTGAGTGGGCAAAGATATTTGCATATGACATATTGGATAAGGCATTAGTATCCAAAAAAAGAAAATATATATATACACACACACACACACACACATATATATATATATTTTGCCATATATGTGTATACATATGTATATTTATTTGTATATATGTATACAAATGTATATGTATACACACATATATGTATGCATGTATGTATGTATATATGTATACAAATGTATATGTATACACACATATGTAATGTATATATATACACACACATATATATAAATACACACAACTCAACACCAAAAAAGCAAATAATCAAAATAAAAAATGGGCAGAAGACATGAACAGATAGTTTTCTAGAAGAAGACATACAGATGGCCATCAGACACAGAAGAAGATGCTCAACATCACTAATCATTAGGGAAATAAATAAAAATACCATATCACCCCACACCTGTCAGAATGGCTAAAATAAAAAACACATGAAATAACAGATGTTGGCAAGGATGTGGTGAAAAAGGAATCCTCTGGTACTGTTGGTGGAAATGCAAAGTGAGGCAGCCACTGTGGGAAACAGTATGTAGGTTGCTCAAAAATTTAAACATAGAACTACCCTACAACTCAGTAATTGCAGTACTGGGAATTTACCCAAAGAACACAAAAACACCAATTAAATGCATATATGCATACCTATGTTTATTGCAGCATTACCATATGGAAGGTAGACGGGAGACTGGTGAAATAGGTGAAGGTGATCACTTACCATCATGAGCACTAAATATAGAGACATGCCGAATCACTGTACTGTACACTTTAAATTAATACAACGCAACATTAACTACACCGGATTTAAAATTGAAAAAAGAATACACTTATGATGAGCACCGAGTAATGTACAGAATTGGTGAATCACTCTATGGTACACCTGAAACTAATAGAACACTGTACATTAAATACATTGACTCATTTATTTATTTTTTTGTTTTCTTCTCAGAGTTTCATAGCTGTAGCTCTTGCATTTAGGCTTTGATGCATTTTGAGTAAATTACTGTATATAGTGGGAGGAAGGGGGGCAATTATTCTTTGCAAATCCAGTTGTATCGGCCATTTTTGTTGAAAAGATTCTTGCTTTCCCACTGAATGGTCTTGGCACCCTTGTTGCAAACCAGTTGACCACAGATGTGCAGGCATTCTATTCCACTGATCTGTATATCCTTGTGCCGGTATGACACTGTCTTGGTTTACTCAAGGTTTGAAGTTAATTTCAAAATAGGGAAATGTGAGTCTTCTATATGTAATTCTTTCAAATTTATTTTGACTATTCTTGGGGTCTTGAAATCCTGTATGCATTATAGAATCGAATTGTTAATTTCTATAAATAAGTCCACTGAAACTTCGATGTGGATTATGTTACATCTGTGGATTAGTTTTAGGAGTACTGCCATCATAAAAAAATTAATATTAAGTGTTTTGATCCATGAACATAGGATTTTTCCAATTATTACATCTTCTTTAGCTTTTCCCCTTTTATAAGTTTGTACTTCTCTTGTAAAATTCATTCTTAAATAATTTACTATTTCCTACACGATCACAAATGAATTTTTAATTTCATTTTTGAAGTATTATTTCCAAGCAGCCAGAAGTACAAATGATGTCTGTATATCGATCATGTATACTGCCAACTTAACTGAACTCATTTAATTAGTTCTAATTATTTTAGTTCAATTAGTCTTGTAATTTATTATTCTAATTCATTTTAGTGAAATATTTAGGATTTTCTATGTATTAAATGATGTCTTCTGCAAATAGAGATAATCTTACTATTTCCTTTCCATTCTTGGTATCTTTTATTTCTTTTGCTTGCGTAACTGCCCTGAAACATCCAGTACAATGCTGAATAAAAGCTGAGACAACATCCTTATGTTTTTCTGATGTTAAGGGAAACATCCAGTTTTTCATCATTAAATGTCATATTAGTTGTGGTTTTTCAATAGATGCTCTTTGTCAAGTTAGGGATATCCCCTTCTAGTCCTAGTATGTTGAGTGCCTTTTCTATCAAAAGATATTGGATTCTGTCAAACGCCTTTTCTACATCTATTGAGAGAACCATTTTTTATTTTTGTTTTTTTATTGTACTACTGTAATATATAATATTCATTGATTTTCAAATGTTGAGCCTGCCTTATGTTCCCAGGATAAATCCCATTGGTCATGGTGTGTTTTTCTTTTTCTTTTCTTTTTTTTTTTTTTTTAATGTTTCTGGATTTGGTTTAATATTTTGAGGGTTTTGTCTACATTCATAGGGATACTTATGTTTTATTTTTTTTGTGTGATATATCTTTGATTTTGATATTATAGTAATACTGGCCTCAAAGATGAGTTGTGAAGTATTCCCTCCTCTTCTAATTTTTTTAGAAAAGTTTGTGAATAATTGGATTTAATTCTTCTTGAAATATTAGGTAGAATTCAGTGGTGAAGTCACCTGGGCTTCTTTGGTGGATTTAAAAAAAATTACTTACTCAATCTTTTCACATATTACATAAGTTAAGTTCAAATGTCTTTTTTTTTTTTTTTTTCCTCCCAGAGTCAGTTTTGGTAGTTAGTGCATTTCTAGGAATTTTCCCATTTCATTTACATTATCTATTTTGTTGGCATACAAGTTTATACAGGATTCTTCCAAAATTCATTTTACTTCTTCAGGATCAGCAGTTAAGCTCCCTCTTTCATTTCTGATTCCAATAATTTGAGTCTTTTTCTTCTTGATCAATATAGATAAAGACTTATTAATTTTAGCAACCTTTTCAAAGAACCAATGTTTTGGTTTCATTGATTTTTCTCTATTGTTTGTCTATTCACTATTTCCTTAATTTCTGCTCTAATCTTTATTATTTTATTTTTCCTGCTCACTTTTAGGTTTAGGTATCTTTTCAGTGTTCACAAGTGAAAGTTTAGGTTACTGATTTTCAATCTTTCTTTCTTCTTAATATAGAAATTTACTACTATAAATCTACCTCTATTATGTTAGTCTCATTCTATAAATTTTAGTATGTTGTCTTCATTTTTATTAATGGCATAGTATTTTCTTATTTCTTTTTTGATTCCTTCTTTGACCCATTGGATATTTAGGAGCGTGATGTTTAATTTCCAAATATTTATGAGTTATGAGTTCCCAAAATTTTCCAGCTATCAGTTTTTAATTTTATTCCATTGTGGCCAGAGAGCATACTTTGTATTATTTCTATCCTTTTAAAGTCATCGAGATTCATTTTATGACTTAGCATATGGTCTATCCTGGGGAATGTTTTGTGAGCACTTGAGAAGAATGCATATTCTGCTTTTGTTGGGTGAGCGTTCCAAAAATGTCTGATTTCTAGTTGGTTTATAGTGTGGTTCAAGTTTTCTATTTATTTGCTGATCTATCTAGATTTTCTACCCATTATTGAAAATGGGATGTTCAAGTCTCTCTTATTGTTGAATTACCTACTTCTCTTGTTTTTGCTTCATGTTGAGTGCATATATGCCTATAATCATTTTATCTTGATGGATTGACCTTTTTACCAATATAGTCCTGTTTCTTTACATTCTCATAATTTTCTTTTGGAAACTGGCAATTTTATATAATATATAGTAGCAACTCTGAACATTATTCCACCCCTTACCATTGGGCTTGTTATTATTATTATTTGTTTGTCTAGTGACTTACCGGATTATTTTAGTGAAGTTAATCTCTCCCTACCCTTAATGTCAGCCTGTGATGTTGTTCCCCAGGGTAGTACAAATTCAGGTATGCCCAGTCACACTGAGATGACAGTGGTACTAGTAGGACTTTTTCCATCTATTTCCCCTAATCATCTCTAAAAGTTAAACTTTACCAATTACCAGCTAGCTGATCTATTTTGTTAATAATGCCCTGGGGCATAACTTGTTCTATAAACGAATCCAATCAAATATGACTCCTCTGAAGGAACAATTTCTGATAAACATTTCATTTTGTTCTGATGCCAGGACTTCTCCTCCCTGAATTATTCCCTAGTTCTCTCCTTGAAACAAACTGACCTATAGTTTAGCCTGTAGCTTGAATCTCCTCCCAAATGGCTTCACCACAACCTCCATTATTCTTGAAATTGAGTTTAGCCTGGAATTTCTTCACTCTGTTGCAAATGAAGTCAGTGCCTTGGGAAGAAATTAGTAGCTGTCTGTTTTTTTGGCCTGTTTCTCTTGCTAAGGCAAAATCTCTGAGCCAAAGTTCTGGATTTAAGGATAGGGACAATGGCAGTCTTCTGAGTGACACCATGCTCTAGGAATTCAGCATTCGGTAGGTGAGAACAGGAGCACAGGGTTCTCTTGGCTTGTCTCTCTTAGTGGGAAACCACCAGCTCCAGAGTCAGGGCAAAACTGACCAGGCCCCAGTATTTTAGCGTGCTGCACCCAAGGCAGAGTCTGTCCCATGAGTGGGGGCTGAGCAGAAGAAGGGACCTGTCCGCCTCTCAAATGCACCCACCCAGGACATGACCTTAGTAACAAGCAGCTGGGGATGAAAAGGGAAACAACAATGCTCCACTCCTCCTGGGAAGAAAGTCTCCCTCTTGGAGCTGAGAGGAAGATGTCTGGTGTTCTTGAAAGTAGTAGTGTGGAACAGAGTATCTGCCTCACTGAGCTGGGAACAGGGAGCAAGACACAAGTCTTGGTTCACACACTACAGACTCTCACCTTTATTACTGAATTGTCATAGATGTTCTTAAATAGATGTTTCTTTACTCACTATCTGTCTTTGGGGCCATGTCCAGAGTTTTTTTTCCCTCTTACCAACTTGTATGGTAGTCATCTCTATCACCTTCATTCTGTCAAGACAAAATAGTTGTTTTGTCCTCTTTCTCCTTTGAGAGACAACTAAGGAATTTAATCAACTTGCTTTACTTTACATCCTCAACTTTCTAGTAGATTCCCCCCAAATCCTGGTTTTGTAGGTTGTCTGCACTTCTTACACTGTTAGGTTGGGAGTGATATTTTCTTTACTCTCTATATATGCTAAGTTATAATTTCTTTTTTAAAAAATATTTATTAATATTTATTTATTTTTGAGACAGAGAGTGACAGAGCATGGGCAGGGGAGGGGCAGAGAGAGAGGGGGAGACACAGACTCTGAAGCAGGCTCCAGGTTCTGAGCTGTCAGTAGAGACCGACGTGAGGCTCAAACTCACGAACTATGAGATCGTTCCCTAAGCCGAAGTTGGATGCTTAACTGACTGAGCCACCCAGGCGCCCTAGTTATAATTTGTTTTTATTTTTCACATTAAGAAGCATTTAACTCTCCTACTTTGTTGATGGTAAAACTACAATATGTGCAGTTTAGGAGGAAGACTGGGAGAAAACAACAAAATCTTCCTAAGCTTTCTACATCTAAACAATAGTATTAAGTATGAATATGCCCAGACCTTATTAAAGTAATCTGTGTTTTTCATTGTCCTTTAAATTTCTAGTGTATTCAGAAATGTGTTATTAACTCAATTGTTTATTTAGCAACATTTCTATATACAATGCTCTGCACTGCAGTTGTCAGAAAATAAATATCGAGTCTTATCTTTTAAGAGATGATAGTCTACTAGAAGAAACACATGTAGACATAAAACCAAGGGACTCAACAGACTGCACGCCTGCCCTGAAGTCCCATCCCTATGCCGGAAGCTGCCCATCGCCCACACAGAACCAGCTCCCTGAGCTTCCTGGGCGGCAGGCAGGGGAAGGGAGCAGAAGAGAACAGTCTTCAGTAAGCCAGAGGAGGTACAGACCTGCCCGGGGCCCTACAGGCCTGTGTCTGTTCCCAGCATTTTGCAAGGCTAGAAAAGGAAGAAGAACCTGCCCAGGACAAGCAGGGGAGGGGCAGAGAGAAGGAGAGAGAGAATCTCAAGCAGGCTCCATCAGCACAGAGTCCAATGCCAATGCGGGACAGAGCTCACAAACTGTGAGATCATGACCTGAGCCAAGATCAAGGGTCGGAGGCTTAACCAACTACACCACCCAGGCACCCCAAAATTGCACTTCTTGTTAGTTCTATGACAACATAAAAAATGAGGTTCAAAATGAAGAAAAAAAAAAAACCCTTATGTTATATATTGCTTTTACCCTTTTATCATTTGAACACTAAATTTTTTTTCTTGGGTTTAAAAGATAGGTATTCTCACATATGAATAAAGTTGAAGCATATGAACAGTATTGTTACCAAGTCCACGATACAATATTTCTTGAAAACCTATTTCTCTAGAGGCAATATTACTCACTGTCATGTGTACAGTTTCACTATATGTAAAATGGAGATTATTTTTATACATGAATTAATAGTGGTATCTGACAGTTTCCTATCTTTTAGTAACCTCAAAGAATTCCCAAAATGCCACTTTTTCTATCTTAAGAAAAATTTTTCTTCATGCTAGTTTCTACTTCACTCTCATCTTCCATGAGGTAATATCCTATGACACGGGATGATGGAAACTTAATTCTGCTCAGGCACATAACTGCTCCAGTCCATGGAAAATAACAGCAATAAGATGTGGAATTCATCTAAAAGGTGTAATTACACATTAAATGATGCAGTTTATGCTGGACATCTGCAGCATATCATTGTAATTAATCGAGAATGGGTAAGTGTAAAAATTTTAAGAGAACACTCATGTTCTCTCTCTTGCATTTTTCCCTCCATGTAAATAGGAAACAAACAGCTTAGAAGAATGAGAAAATTATGAAAAGGTTTATAGGAGGGAAAATCTTGAATCTTCAGAGTTCTTACACATAAATAATTCTCAAAAGAACTGATGCTAGGTCCAAAAATTCATTCAAAATTGGTCCAAAATGGAAGCAGTAAAGAGGGGGAAACATGGTGGGAAGAGAAAATAGAATAAGAGAATGGAGGAGGGAGGCATTTTGGGGAAGTTTCAGGCTACTGGTAGAAAGTTAAATGATCAAACCTAATTCGAACATTCTTTGTCTACCCAGGTAGTTCTAGGAAAAACTGCTAGAGATGCAAAGCGAACCAGGTAAAACAATCCAATATAAGTCTCAAAATTATGTACATTTCATAAATACATGTGGATTCCCCAAGAAGTATAATTGTACTGGGAGATTTCTAGATACTCTGTTATTTGCACAGAAAAGTAATTTAAATCATTAAACAACCGTGGGGCACCTACCATGTTACCAGTACTGTTCTCAATACTGGGAATAGAGAGGAGTAATATTTGGTCTCTCCCCTTGATAAACTAAGAATCCAGGCAGTATGTTAAAGCATACCAACCAACAAACAATCCAAAACTATAATCAACTATTACAATAGCAGTCTGAACAAATTATCATCAGGACACCAAGAAGTAAGTGCTTACCTCTTTAGCCCAGAGGAAGCAGAAATGCAGAATAGTGAGCGGCTCTCAGAGGAAGTGGCACTTGAGCTGGCATTTGATGAATAATTGTCTCCAGGTGGCACTAGGAAAGAGGTCCTTCATAAGCTCTAGGCATTCTTTGAAACGCATAATGTCACATCAAACATGTTTCAAATGTACTCATCAGATATTAAAATACACTTTATAACTGACACAAAATCATGAGTCGAACCACGTTTGCCAAAATACCGTAATGCTACATTTTGCAGGCAATGAATTAAAAGTTGACTAATTTTGTGATTTTCCCATATATATTGTCCCCTTTCTCCAACATTTTCTTAGATTCTTGGAATACTCATAGTCTCTAAGCACTGTTCCTGCGGTACCTCGTGAAAAATAATGACTAGGGAGAATATGCCTACCAGCCTCGGTTGCTCTAAGAAAATGTATATTTGAGTCAGAAAACCTCTCAAATAAGAGCATTTATTAATCCTTGTAGGCAAACTCATTGTCATATTTGTACAAGTCATTTTCTCTACCCTGTGGTCAGATGATCTCAACAAAATGACTGAGTGAGGATCCATTCTTGAGAATTTACTTCCTTACTATGATTCCATGATCTGTGATCATGGATAGTCCCCTAGTCTTCAGCCTTTGTTTCACTATTCATAAAATAAGAATAGTACTACAGTACTATAAATGTGAAGTATCTAAAGTTTCATATGGAAGACTCTAGAGATGTAAGGCAGTATAGCAGGCACGATAACCCGGTGCTTGTTAATCTAGCACTTTCCTTTGGATCCAAGAAAGGCAAACGTTCTTAAACTGTTACCTTTACTAGAACACTAGTATGTAACAGGATGAGAAAGATTCCTCCCTTATCATTGAAAGTGAATTTTTTACTTTTTATTATTTTTAAATTTTATTTCTTTAAGGTTTATTTTGAGAGAGACCACACACAGGTGCACACAAGTGGGGGAGGGGAAGAGAGAGAGAGAGAGAGAGAGAGTGAGAATCCCAAGCAGGCTCTACACTGTCAGCACAGGGCCTAATGCTGGGCTCAAACTCACAAAACATGAGATCATGACCTGAGCCCAAAGTTCCATGTTTAACCAACTAAGGCACCCAGGCCCCCTGAAAATTTCTTTTTGAATAGAAAACACCTGGGAAATATTTATTTTCTTTGTGAATTAACACATAGAAAACCATACTGAGTGATGTATGGACGCTCCTGGTTTGAACACTTTTCTTTTTGGCCAGGAGGGACTTCTTTTCCTCATTTCGAGTGGGTTTTTGAAACCCGGTACAGCTTTAGAGTGGAGGGTGCCAGGAGAGTGAGCCCGCCACGTGCACAGAAACAAGAGGAGCTTGTGGAACCTCCTGGCCCAATTGGTACCCTCAGTTCCCTGTGGCCGCAGCCACTGGAAGGGGCCAATCGGACCTCCAAACAAGCTCAGACCCACACCCGTCTTTCCTCTCACGTACAACCGTGTGCCCGAAAAAAATCTGAAATTACCATCACACATGATCACAGAGTAGGCTCCCCTCGGCGTCTTTTGACCTAAGAACCGTTCTGGCTGTGTTTCCATCCATCCAGTTTCCATCCATCCAGGCGCAGGGCCTCGCCAGGTGCGTCTGCGGCTGCTTGCCCGGCCTTCACTCGGGTATCCCCTCTGCCACCCTCTTCTGGAGTCCCGCGGCTAGTGGCAAGCACTGGGGTGTTCTCGGAGGAGCCCCGCGTCCCTGCTCTCCGGCATGCTCTCCGGGCGGCCCTTCTCCACTCAGAGCACAGCTAGCAAGGGCAGCGGGCCGAGATGGGCTTCGGCTTCCAGAGAAGGAAAATGGGGAAGAAGGCGAAAGGAACGGCCGTGAGCCCTAGGCCTCCAGCCACGGAGGCGGAAGTAACCCACGTCGGCGCAGGCACGGCCAGCCTAGATGGCGCCCGCGGCGTGAGGAACCGGAAGCACCACGTGCGCACGCAGCGCGGAGTCCCGCCCTCGGCCGAGGCCTCGCCTTCCTCAGCTCAGCTGGGAGCCGCAGGGTCAGCTTCGCGCCTGCAAACGCCGTGTTGCACAGCTCCTCGGAGCTGGTGCCGGGCGAGGACAGCCACTTCAGGGTGGCTTGCGCTGGGTGCCCAAATTGGTGAGACGGCAAGCTCCTCCCGCTCCCTCGCGGCAGATCCGCGACAGGGGACCATGTCTTGGTGTGGCCTAGGCCCGGACGATGGTTGAGAGGGGCAGGCCAATCCCAAGTAGTCACCTGCATTATGTAGTGGGTGGCCTCCACACCCTTGCAGAAGTCCTACTGGAGCCGATCGTTCACCTGTTGCCGTAGACACCTGTCCACGTGTCCTCTCGTCCCAGGAGCCTGACCCGTGGTCTGCCTGGCTCGCAGGTGTCCCTACCTGGCTGGTGTCCTGAGCGCTGCTGTCTCCGCTCCTGCCGGCACCTGCGTCTGGACTCCAGTTAAGTATGCAATACAACCTATAACCTTGGTTCAAGCCTTGAGACATTGTGTTGGTGCTTCCCATGTAAATATAGTGATAGCTGTATGGTCTGAGGAAGTTGGTGTAGGGAAAGGTGGCTAATGCTACTAATGTGGCAAATAAGCAAATATTTAAAAACATGCTAAGCAGAAATTTTAAAATGCGTCAGCTCAATATTCTGCGGGAAAAGCCTGCAGTTCAAGTATCTTGTCTAATTGATACACACATAACCAGCAACATTTGCTACATGTTGCAGCTCCTACAAAGTTCCACTCTAAAATTCTCATTGAAATTGAAGGATGATTTTGTTCTTTCCAGTTATGTTATTGTTACTGTTGCTGTTGTCTGATTAAGTGGCTACAATTATGTGCTTCAAACACCAAAAAGCACTGAAAGGTATATAGTGAGGGGACACCTGGGTGATTCAGTCGTTGAGTCTCCGGCTGGGCTCAGGTCGTGCGTGATCTCATGGTTTGTGAGTTCCAGCCCCACATCGAGCTTTCTGCTGTCAGCCTGTGTCAGCGCAGAGCCGGCTTCAGATCCTCTCTGTCCCTCTCTCTCTGCCTCTGCTCTGCTTGTACTCTCTCAAAAAAAAAAAAAAAAAAAAAAAAAAAAAAAAAAAAAAAAAAAAAAGACATATAAGTGAGAAGTCTCTGTCCCATCTCTGTCCCCAAAACAGCCAAGTCACCCCTCTCTCCCATCTTCTCAGTCCCATTCACTCCCCCCAACACGAATAACCACCATTATTGATGCCAACTTTAAACACTTACATAAAATAATTAGAATTTGAACATTTAGTCACTTGTAGGATAAAAATGATGAAGTTTTTTGTTAATTCAGAGAAGTTAATTACAGAAGAAAAGTCCCTAGAAAAGTGGGGGAAGGAAAGGGATGTAGGAACAAGTCAAAGGACCAAATCTTGGTTAGAGCCATCACCTTTAACAAATTCTTCTTAGAGAAGAAATTATGGCACTTCAGGTTGTGTGTGACTACTGCTGTCGTTTTTATTTTTACGAGGAAAATTCAAAACACTCTGAAAATTGATGGCATTGGGTTTATGCACTGTCAATTTCACATTGTAAAAATTTCTCACAGGAAGTAATGTCAGAATTCTGTCACCACCTTTTTTAGTTTGTAGACAAGGAAACAAGTAGCTCATTGGCATTTATGAATCTTCTAAAGTTTTTATTCCTTTGTTTCCAATAAATGAATATTATAAATTCTAAATAAATAGTTACATGATAAATTTGGTCACCTCTGTAAGCTAGGAATAATCAATATAATTTAAAAATCCTGACTGACAATTATAAAAATGTATTTGTTTAATGAAAGTAATAATCATGTATCAAGAAAGATTCAATGTTAATAAATCAATGTAAAACAATTTTCAGATTTTGGGAGGGGATAAAGTAATATAAATTGCAATACTCTTCAGTTCCTAGAAAGACCTATTTATATTATTTTATTGATTGACGCATTGTCAATAACCAAAACTAGTGTTTCTTATTCTGCTCAGAGACCATTTATTTATATCTGCCCCCGCATCTACCACAGAGCCTAGCACATAGTAGGTACCAAATGAATTTTTGCTAGGAGACCAATTATATATATCACAAAATTATTTTTATTTGATATTTAATATCATCCAGTGCTTTAAGGGGTTTTAGTACAGAGATACCATTTGTTTACTGTATGAAATTAATCCAAAATGGAAAATGTTATAGTGATTTTTTCAGTTTCATATTCCATTAAGTACATAATGCAATTAGAAAACTACAAAAACAAGCAATTTATACCATTGCCAGAATGAGTTTATTCCATAGAGCACTCTGTTTCTTAGTTTGAGATTTTTTTCACAGGAGAGTGGGGAACGGATGGATCGTGGGCACACTGCAACATACTTGCCCAAACTTTTCTTGTGCTTTCTAATTCTCCTTAAAACTTTTGTTATTTTTCATGTTACTGCATCTGGCCTTCATCACTAAAAATCGCTGCCATGATTACCAATTAAAACTCCGCGTCTTGTCTTCACTGCCATCCAGTTCGTACCTTGTCTTTACTATCCAGCCGAAGTCCTCCCTCCGGCAGTCCTTCCCTCCAGCACTCAGCTTGCAGCAAACTCTCCTCTGAACTCACTCACCGTACAGGTGCCATTCTTTATATCTTGACATTGTTGGCTAAGTTTTCTGTGCACACACTGGACCATTCTGGTTAGACTGATTAGCAGAGTAAAAACAATCACAGAGGTGTTCAACCTTGTTTCGTATGAAACTGGAAACTGAGGCCCATCCAGAGAGATTAAGCAGATAGCCCAAATTCATAGCCTTACACAGCAGGAATGAAAACCTCTCGTTTCCAATTGCTTCTGCTTTGTTTTGCATACCTAGTGAATATGGGTCTTTGCATGTATCTTCATGCCCATGTGCTAAGCATGGTGCCTTGTATATATTACATTCTGGGGTTTTTGTTGTTTTGTTGTAATCTTGATATAAAACATGCATCCCACTATAGATTTTAAAAATACTTGCTCAATGATTTGATAGAGAGATGTTTCTGCTAATGCACTCCCCCGTGATGAACACATAGTTGTTTTTTTCAAGGCTCTTTGGCAACCGTCTATCTATATATTTTGACAGTTTCACCACAACTCATTCATTTGATGAAACAAATTCTGTGTCAAAACAAATAGAAATGGGGCAAGAAGCTTAGAAAATTGATACAATTTACAATTTTTTAAAACAGAATAAGGCACATTTTTATAATCCCATGCCATCCCTCTCTACCACACACAACAAAAGAACTGGAGATATATACACTCACACTGTACTTAAAACTGTAGCACAAGTAAATGCATACAAAAGCACCTGGAGTATATGGGGAACAGGGGGAAAGGTAAGGGATCCTGGCCAAAAAAAAAAAAAAAAAAAAAA